GGGTGAGTTGTTGTATAGTTGTAGGGAGCATTATCTGTTCCATAAGGGTAAGTTGTTGTACCGTTGTAGGGAGTATTATCTATTTCATAAGGGTGAGTTGTTGTAGTTGTAGGGAGTATTATCTGTTTCCTAAGTGTGAGTTGCTGCACAGTTGTAGGGAGTATTATCTGTTACATAAAGGTGAGTTGTTGTACAGTTGTAGGGAGTATCGTCTGTTACATAAGTGTGAGTTGTACAGTTGTAAGGAGTATTATCTGTTACATAAGGGTGAGTTGTACAGTTGTAGGGAGTATTATCTGTTACATAAGGGTGAGTTGTTGTACAGTTGTAGGCAGTATTATCTGTTACATAAGTGTGAGTTGTACAGTTGTAGGGAGTATTATCTGTTACAAGCATGAGTTGTACAGTTGTAGGGAGTATTATCTGTTACAGAAGTGTGAGTTGTACAGTTGTAGGGAGTATTATCTGTTACAGAAGTGTGAGTTGTACAGTTGTAGGGAGTATTATCTGTTACAGAAGTGTGAGTTGTACAGTTGTAGGGAGTATTATCTGTTACAGAAGTGTGAGTTGTACAGTTGTAGGGAGTCTTATTTGCTTCATAAAGGTGAGTTGCACAGTTGTAGGGAGTATAGTCTGTTTCCTAAGTGTGAGTTGTTGTACAGTTGTAGGCAGTATTATCTGTTACATAAGCATGAGTTGTACAGTTGTAGGGAGTATTATCTGTCACATAAAGGTGAGTTGTACAGTTGTAGGGAGTATTATCTGTCACATAAAGGTGAGTTGTACAGTTGTAGGGAGTATTATCTGTTACATAAGAGTGAGTTGTACAGTTGTAGGGAGTATTATCTGTTACATAAGAGTGAGTTGTACAGTTGTAGGGAGTATTATCTGCTACATAAAGGTGAGTTGTACAGTTGTAGGGAGTATTATCTGCTACATAAAGGTGAGTTGTACAGTTGTAGGGAGTATTGTCTGTTACATTAGGGTTGTTTATTTGAATTTTGGAGGTTTCTTATAAAAACAGAATATGCAAAGTATGTAAAGGAGTGACTGACAGTTACCTGCAGGTTTTGCATTTAAAGCAGACCTATTGTGTGACGTATTTTCTAGTCTGTGGCACCCGTGGATCACATTTTATTATATTTTGCGCACTTTAAATCACAAAAACGATTTACAAAAGTATTCATAACATAGGACCTTACATTTGAGTATGTTTTGTAATTTTCCAGCTTGTATTTAGTTTTCTGAAAGCTCCTTGACACGTCCAGAATCCAGCGGGCCACTCCCTCTCCTCACGATTCCTTTTGTCTGAATTTGAGTGGTGATAAAACGCTCCCCAGGGAGACGTGTTCGGACTGGAGCTTTAGATCACTTCTGGATTACTGCTTTTGTATCAGTCTCATTTAAAAAAACACTTAAAAACATCGCCGCAGTGACAGGACCAGATGCACCGGGATTATTACGGGATAGGCCCCATTGAAGAGCCCAGAGACAGCGAAAGATATGGCCCCGAGGGAGATAATTCTGCTCACACGTAATGTTGAAAGTAGTGTTCATTTGAGGGATGAAAAGCGAATGCTGCAGGACGTCTGACATTTATAGACCGTATTAGACCTGAACAACGTATAATTTACCTCTTGCCTTCAGCCAAAAGTGTCTGATCTATCATTAAAACACAAGATGTAATTTTGTGTGTTTTGGCGACAGTTTCTGGGTTTGAAATCACATCACTGCATTCTACAGGTCGGAGAGGAAGTGAACCAGGACGAGACCAGGACTAAACCAGGACCAAAACAGGAATGAACCAGGACTGGATCAGGAAAGTGCCTGGATTAAACCAAGACTGTTTAGCCTCAGTTTAGTCCTGGTTTAGATCTGGTTTAGATATCGTTGAGCCCTGATTTAGTTTTGGTTTATTCCTGGTTTAATCCTGGTTTAGACCTGATACAGTCCTGGTTTAGTCCTGGTTTAGATCTGGTTGAGCCTAGATTTAGTCCTGATTCAGTTCTGGTTCAGCCCCGTATTTAGTCCTGGTTTAGACCTGGCTCAGTCCTGATTGAGTCCTGGTTCAGTCCTGGTTTAGTCCTGGTTTAGACCTGGCTCAGTCCTGATTGAGTCCTGGTTCAGTCCTGGCTTAGTCCTGGTTTAGTCCCGGTTCAGTCCTGGTTAAATCCTGATTTTGCCTTGGGTCAGTCCTGGTTCAGACCTGATTCAGTCCTGGTTTAGCCTGGGTTTTGTCTTGGTTCAGTCCTGGTTTAATCCTGATTTAGACCTGATACAGTCCTGGTTCAGTCTTGGTTTAGGTCCTTGCTTTGTTCTGGTTTAGTCCTGGTTTAGACTTGGTTCAGTCCTGATTCAGTCTTGGTTCAGTATTGGCTTAGTCCTAGTTCAGTCCTGGTTAAATCCTGGTTTTGTCCTGGTTCATTCTACAGGTCTGTGGAGGAGCTTTACCTGATTTTAAATTTTTTTCTTAAAGGTGCACTGTGTACTTTTCTGGAGGTGGTCCAAGGCCTGTTTGTCTCCATGGAGATGTTAATTCTTTGCTTTAACTTGTCCACAGTGGTATTAAACTAATCTGACTTGCATTTATTCAACTACAGGTGTTATTTATTGCTCAAAAAGATCTTCAAAAACATCCATTCTTACTGTGAGTGGGGTTGCCTCTCCACAAACCTAACCTGTAATTTGACTTGCAAGATTCATAAGTTCATGAGCCTAAACCCAGTTTTGTAATTTTGTAATATTTTCATTACTGAGATAATTATTACTATTTTGTTTAATATTGCATGATTTTTGGTAATTTTGGTAATTCTTTATGATTAACATGATTATGTGTTGATCATTTGCTTAAAATAATTTGATCTATTTACATTTTTCTTTCAGTTAATTATTGCTGATTTTAAGCATAAGTTTACCTAAGTAATGTATATTTTTTTGTATTATTTTGCTTCTATTGCTCCTTATTTAAGACGATTCAGGTGCATCATGGGAGTGTGGAGTGGAGCCAAACAGTTTTTTGACCTCTTGTCGCTTTACCTGTTAAAGTTCCCCTTTTGTACGTTTTGTACTTCCTCAACTTTATGTGAATACTACGTAAACTTGGATCGCTCTCCGTGGATTTATTTCACTTTTGAGGCATTTTAAAAGGTGGACCAAGGTACACAAACTGTCAATCTACACAGCAAAAAGTGGAGAGGTAAAACTGACTCTCACAGAATCAGTTTTAAAATTTTCTCAGGGTTTATTTGAGTTCAATCTGTTCTAAAGTGAATATAACGTTTTTGGAAATGTTAATTACCGTATTTTCTGGATTATAAAGTGCACTGTCATAGAATGGTCTATTTTTGAACTTTCACAAATAAACCGCACCGGACTTTAAACAAAACACAACAATTGGATGGGTCAGTGGGACTTTGTTTGTCACGTTCACGGTGACTCTGGACTTTGTTCAGTTGTGGCGTGTAGGGAGGGTGCTGTCTGGGACCAACGGATTGTTGACGTGTTCGCAGTGACTCAGTTGTTCAGTTGTGATAACACTTTGTAGGGTTATTCTGATTTAGCTAAACAAAACACAGGGTCTGTTTACACAAAAACACTTGCAGGTAAAAAGGACAAAATATTTTATCGGAAGTGCGCTCCAATAACTTCTTGGGTTCTTTTTAAAGACAATGCAGTAAAGTGTGTTTACCTTGTTGACATGTTTCGGCTGCTAGCTGCAAGCCATCTTCAGAACTGTCACCGGTGTTGAGTGGTGACGTGTCGTATATCAGTACACGGAAACAAACATGTCGGATCATTTCCATGCATTGGACCTTCAAGCTTTTCTGGCAGCTCTAATAAACTTACAAGAGGCATCCCAACAAATGTACAGAATATGTAGAGATACTATTATTGAACAGAGAAGCATCTGCAATTACGTCTGTCAAATTCTGGATGCACCAGTTCGTTCGGCAATGGACAAAAACGCTCTTGTAAACGCAGAATAAAAAGTGAAAACACGACACCACTTTTGCATCTTTTGTTCAGACTGTCATCATGTAAACGTAGCCACAGAGGTATTTTATTTTTACACTTTATTTTAGTTAATTTAAGATTAAATTATGTACAAAACTGGTTCAAACTGGTCTTCTCTTGTGGGAGTTTGAAGTGGTGGTTGGAGGTGCCAAATTAACTCTAAGGGAAGTAGAATGAACACTAGTGGAAGTCTTCAACCATATCAACTCTGGCAAATAACCCCAACTCCAACCCCCATTCAACTTTCAAATAGCACTTTTTGTATTTAAAAAAATTCTGAAATATTTTACCCTGAAATTTTAACCCTTCAGTTTTTGCTGTGTGTGGCTTCACAAATGTTTGAACTTTACAATGGCCATACTGTGGAACATTCTAGACACATCTCCATAGAGACAAGCAGGTGATGGAGCAAACTTCTCCCTCACTTACTTACCCTTCAGAGCATCCTAATGATTCACCCTGATGAGTTTATAAGTACTTTTAACAACAATTAGCATGCTAACACATTCTTCCTGAGTATTTTACAGTAAGACGCTTTATAATTAGATACAGACAGAACTTATTTTAACATCAAGAGCTGCTTATACAATATATCTGTACTGGGGCGGGACAAAATTTTGCTCATATCTACGAAAAAAATGTGTAAAAGTTGAACTATGTAACTTAAACAGGTCGGATCTGTGGAGAGGCGAAGCCGCTCACAGTAAGAATATCTGATTTTCAAGGTGTTTTTGAACAATTATAACACATGTAATTGAATAAATGCAATATAGATGAGTTTAATGCCATGCTGAGGAACATCCAAATCAATCACATGTCCATAGTGCAATTTTAAGTGTTGTTCCTGTATGAAATCTTCAGGTTGATGGTTGAAAACAGACTCAAACGTGTCCATGGGCAAGGCATCTCAGCTCCCAGCCTGTAAGAACGTTTGGATTGTACAGTTCCAGCAGCCTTTAAATATCTGTTTGTTGTTTTTCTTTCAGAGTTGTGTTTATGGAGAGAACCACACTTCGATCCAGTGCACGACCCCGTCCCTGGCCAAACTGGCTCTGCAGCCCCCCCTAGTGACCAAAGTGTCCTTCATCCTGGACGGATTCTCCACAGACCAGTGGGACCTGGTCTACGTGGAAGACCCGCTTTTCCAGGACCCAAAACTCACGTCCAAGGACAACAAGAGCATAGTGGAGCTGAAGGTAAGAGGCAGAGCTAAAGCAGGACTGAAACAGGACTAAAGCAGGACTAAACCAGGACTAAACTAGGACTGAACCAGGACTAAACCAGGACTAACACAGTACAGATCCAGGATTAAAACACGATTGGACCAGGGCTGAACCAGGACTAAACCAGGATTGGACAAGGACAGGGCCTGGATTAAACCAAGACTGACAAGGACTAAACCCGGACCGAATCAGGGCCGAACCAGGACTAAACCAGAACTAACACAGTATGGATCCAGGACCAAACCAGGACTAAACCAGGACAGGACCAGGGCTGAAACAGGACTAAACCACAACCAAACCAGGACTAAACCAAGAAAGAACCAGGACTGAACCAGGACTAACACAGTACGGATCCAGGACTAAACCAGGACAGAATCAAAATGAAACAAGACTAAACGAGTACTAAACCAGGACTGACCAGAAGTAAAAAAGGACTGAACCAGGACTAAAACCCAGGATTAAACCAGGACTTGAACCAGGGCGGATCCAGGACTAAAACAGGATTGGACCAGGGCTGAACCAGGACTAAACCAGGACTAAAGCAGGACTGAACCAGGACTGAACCAGGATTAAACCAGGACTAAAAAGGACTAAACCAAGACTGAATCATGACCAAAGCAACACTAAGAAAAGGATTTAGCCAAGACCAAAACAGGACTAAACCTGAACTGAACTAGGACTGAACAGGGACTCATAAAAACACTAAATCTGACCTGAACTTATCCCAAGACTAAACCAAGACTAAACCAGATCTGAACCAGGATTAAACCCGGTCTAAACCAGATCTGAACCATGAATGTGTGGTTTACTGTGACCCAAACTTGCATCTCTTGGGAGCCGTGATCTGAACAATGGTGTGAATGAATGGAGCTCTGATGAACTCTGGGGAACGCAGTCCACTTCCTGTTTGTGTCTTATTACTTCCTGCTTCTGTGACCTTCACCTCTGCACACTCAATGGATAATAACGCTACAATAATGTCACAAAATACAGGAAATCATTTATGAATAAAATGTCGGAAATACGTAGAGTTCAAAGCAAACATTTTACACACATCTGGTTTAGTCCTGTTTGGTCCCAGTAGAGTCCTCCTGGTTTAGTTCTACTTTAGTCCTACTCTAGTTCACTTTTAGTCCTTCCTTAGTTTCTTCTTTAGTAGTTCTAGTATAGTACTGGGCCTGGTTTAGATCTGGTTTAGCCCTGGTTCAGTCTGGGTTTAGGCTGGGTTTAGTCCTAGTTTAGTCCTTGTCATTTCAAATTTAGTTATACTTTAGTCCTGGTTTTAGTCTTGCTTTAGATCTGGTTGAGCCCTGGTTAAGTCCTTGTTTAGCCCTGGTTTAGTCCTTGTTTAGCCCTTGTTTATTCCTGGTTTAGTCTTGGTTTAGTCCTGGTTTAGTCTTGGTTTAATCCTGGTTGAGTCCAGGTTGAGTCCAGGTTTAGTCCTGGTTTGTCTTGCTTTAGTCCTCGTACACTGCGGGTTTAGTCCTGTTTTAGTCCTGGTTTAGTCCTAGTTCAGTCCAGGTTCAGTCTTGGTTTTACCCTTGTTTAGTCTTGGTTTAGTCCTGGTTTAGTCCTAGTTTAGTTCTGGTTCAGTCCTGGTTTTGTCCTGGTTTAGTTCTGGTTCAGTCCTGATTTAGTCCTGGTTTAGTCCTGTTTTAGTCCCTTGTTTAGTCTTGGTTTAGTCCTGGTTTAGTTCTGGTTCAGTCCTAGTTTAGTCCAGATTTAGTCCTGATTTAGTCTTGGTTTAGTCCTGTTTTAGTCCCTTGTTTAGCCTTGGTTTAGTCCTGGTTTAGTCCTGGTTTAGTCCTGGTTTAGTCCTGGTTCAGTCCTGGTTTAGCCTTGGTTTAGTCCTGGTTTAGTTCTGGTTTAGTCCTGGCTTAGTCCTGGTTTAGTCCTGGTTTAGTCCTGGTTTAGTCCTGATTTAGTCCTGGTTTAGTCCTGGTTTAGTCCTGGTTTATTCCTGGTTTAGTCCTGGTTCAGTCCTGGTTTAGTCCTGGTTTAGTCCTGATTTAGTCCTGGTTTAGTCCTGGTTCAGTCCTGGTTTAGTCTTGTTTCAACATCCGTTTTGTTCAGTCCAGTTTTTATGGAGATGGTCTGAACATCTCCATAGAGACCTTGACCAGAAAAGTTACACAGTGCAGCTTTAAAAATACTCCCTGTGAACGCATCTAGATTTTCTAACCCCTGAAGTCCTGTTTAAAGACTCCGGGGCTAAAGTTAGTTGTGTTACTGAGTTCCCAGGCTGTTGGCTCGTGTTAGTGTGTGATGCTAATTGTGTGTGATGGTTTGTCATTCTCCCGTGAAGCCAAGTGTTCAAATATGAGCCAGAGTCAACAAACTCCGAATCAGACGACACGGGGCCAAACTGGACCGAGACACGCTGGACCGAGACACACACAGTTATGTCAAACTATTAAAATGGACTTTAATAGACTGACAGGGATAAATATAGAGGTTAGGACTGGAAATATCATGTATATGTACTGTATGTAGTGAAGGGGAATGAACCAGGACCGAACCAGGACCAAACCAGGACTGAACCAGGTCTAAACCAGGACTAAACCAGATCTAAACCAGGTCTAAACAAGGACTGAACCAGGACTGAACCGAGACCAAACCAGGTCTAAACTGGGACTAAACTAGGTCTAAACCTGGACTAAACCAGGACTGTACCTGGACTGAACCAGGACTAAATAAGAATTAAACCATGACTAAACCAGGACAAAACCAGGTCTAAACCGGGACTAAACCAGGCCTAAACCAGGACCAAACCAGGTCTAAACCAGGACTAAACAAGGACTGTACCTGGACTGAACCAGGACTAAATAAGAATAGGGCTGGGCAAAAATTTAAAAAAATTTAATCGCGATTAATCGCATGAGTTCGAGCAATTAATCGTGATTAATCGCATGTTATACGCAAAACCAATTAATGAATTAAAAAAGTAGTTATAGTGTCTTTTATTGGAAATGTAAATGAAAGAGCCATACATTTGTTGTGCACACAGCATTTCTTTCACAGGGGAACCTCAGAGCCTTCAAGGTATTCAGGGAAGGCTGAAGAAAAAATATTGAATGGACGTTTGTACTACAAATATATTTATTGAATATTTTTTATGCTGTGAGTAATGAACACTACACTAGTAATAATTTCTACATCAGTGTTATAAACTTGGACTGATATTTCTTAGGAAACAAAGGATATTATTATGGAATGGAAATGGACCAATCAATTTGCTTAATATAATAAATGGCATCCTTTTTTCCTGGTATAAATAAAGACGTTACTCCAGCACTGAACTAAAGAAATAAGCTCAGCTCTCTCAGCACACGGCGGGGCGTCGGTGGCCAGAGCCCGTGCCCACGACCAGAGCCCGAGAGTCGGGGTGCGCCCGCGGCCGGAGTCGGAGCCGGCTCGGGCACTTGCGTTCAAAAGCTAAAAGTTAGAGTCAGAAAAAAAAAAAAACTTAACAATGAAGTAGAAACTTAAAGAAACGCTCCCGTTGGACTTTTTCAAAATAATAAAAACAGTGGTGAGAAACAGACGTTTACAATTAAAATAAATAAATAAATAATAAAAAAAAACTGCGTTAACGGCGTTAAAATAAAAAAATTAAACAAGCAAAAAAAACAAGAGTTAACGAAAGGCTAAATAGAATTAAACAGGACTAAACCAAGACAAAACCAGGTCTAACGACCAGTTAAACCAAGTCTAAACCAGGACCAAACCAGGTCTAAACCAGGACCAAACCAGGACTGAACCAGGACTAAAAAGGATTAAACCAGGACTAAACCAAGACTGAACCAGGACTGAACCTGGACCGAACCAGTACTAAACCCGGACTAAATAAAGATTAAACCAGGGCTAAACCAGGACTGAACCAGACTGAATCAGGACTGAATCCCAACAAACCAAACACCTGAACCAGGACTAAAAACTAGGATTTATCCAAGACTCAAAACAGGACTAAACCAGAACTATACCATGAATGTGTGGTTTACTGTTACCCAAACTTGCGTCTCTGAGTGATGATCCAAACAATGGTGTGAATGAGAATTACCAAAATTTATGTTAAAGTTTAGTTTTACCTGAATTTTCTTGTTTTTTTGTTGAATGATTCTTTGACATTGAACAAAATCCACCAAAATCTTGAGGTTTTTGCATTTACTTTAGCAATAAAAACACCCATATTTAAAATAACAAAATGGAATATGTTTAATGCCATACCACAGAACAGTGTAATAATACTAACTTTTCTGGTATGGGCCCTGTCACCTGCTTTACTTGTTTCCATGGAGATGTTATTGCTTTGTCTGAAATGTTCCACAGTATTAAACTTACATGTCTTGCATTTATTCAATTAGTGGGGATTTATTACTCAGAAGTATCTTGATAAACAGACAGTACATTTTTACTGCGAGCTCGGTCCGTAACGTGGACTGGTGCCCATCACCTGTTGGTTTCCATGGCAATAGTTATAGTCCAGGGAATGACACATGGCCACACACAGACTGGGGCAGTGTAGAACAAATATCAGTGCCAAATATTGTCAAAATGTAGGACCATAACCATTCCTACAGTGAATCGAATTATGAAGTTTTAGTGGTTTCTACTCATTAGTTATTTTGTCATGTTTTCGTATGAAATGACCTCCAGCTTCTTGAGTTGCAGTGTAATAATCTTAGTTAAAAAAGAGCTAAAGAAACTAAACACGGCTGAGATCCGGAGCAGAGACCCAACAGGTGCAGAGTCTGTGGAGAATCTGTAATCCACTGGTCCTCAAGAATGCACTGAGAGCGAGAGGGGAGGGTCAGAGCTAGAGCTGGACCAGGACTGAACCAGGACCGAAGCAGGACTAGGACCAGACCGGCCAGCCAAACTGAACCTACCGGAATGTTCCACAGTAACCAAAGGTGAGAGGGGAGTGAGAGAACAGGAATGAACCAGGACTCAACCAGGACTCTATCAGTATGAAGAAGACAGATTAAACTGAAAAAACTGAATTGGATAAACCGTGTACTCAAGTGAATTATTAGGACCTACACAGGACTGGAGGAATCAGGACTGAATCAGGAGTGAACCACTGGTGATCAAGAATGCACAAGAGTGAAAGGGGAGTGAGAGAGCAGGACTACATTGAAATTGGGAATAAACATGTACTCAGATGGGTTTAAACCAGGACTAAACCAGAACTGAACCAGGATTAAACCAGGACCGAAGCAGGAACGAACCACTGGTTCTCAAGAATGCACTGAGAGTGAGGAGGGAGGATCAGGTCCAGGCAGACCAGGACCTGAAACCAGGACTAACCAAGGACTGACAGGACCTGCCAGTGCAGGACCGAAACACCTGGTCCTCCCAAGGATGACACAAGGATGAGAGGGGAGTGTGAGAGAGCAGGACTGAAACCAG